GTTGTTGTTGTTGTTGTTGGCGTTGGCGTTGGCGTTGGCGTTGGCGTTGGTGTTGTTGTTGTTGTTGTTGGTGGTGTTGGTGTTGGTGTTGGTGTTGTTGTTGTTGTTGTCGTTGTCGTTGTCGTTATCGTTGTCGTCGTCGTCGTCGCCGTGGTTGTTGCTGATGTTTTTGATGTGTTTGTTGTTGTCGTTGTCGTTGTTGTTGGTGGTGGTGGCGGTGGTGGTAGTGGTGGTGGTGGTGGTGGTGGTTGGTGGCGGTGGTGTTGGTGTTGGTGTTGGTGTTGCTGCTGTTGTTGTTGGTGGTGGTGGTGGTGGTGGCGGTGGTGGCGGTGGTGGTGGTGCTTTTGGTGTTGGTGTTGGCGTTGGTGGGGTGCTTTGGTGTTGTTGTTGGCGTTAGCATTAGTGTTGGTGTTGTTCCAGGATACTGTCAACGCATATAAGGCCTATGACGATTTAGCCGGCAAAGCCAGCCAAAGCTGTCATTGAGACACCGAGCCAAACTCCCAGGAGATCATCCGAATCCATGCCCGCTCCCATGGAGAAGCGGGAAGGACTCTTCGCCGATTTGTGGTCATACTCCGACAGAGTGGTTCGAGGGTTCAGGGCCGGTTTAGGGTTTAGGGTTAAGGTTTAGGCTCATTTCATGGTAAGGTTTCTTTTCCTGGGCACCGACTCCCCCGAAAGACACCTTTTCCATTAATCATTAATCCTCGCTTTGCGCTCTTCTGGAACTGTGATTGGCCAGCCATTTAGCAGGTGGTATGATCAGGTCTTGCTACACAAGTGAGGCTTCCGGGTTCAGGTGTCGTTCCTATAGCACCCTATTACAAAGACCAACCAAGCTCAATGCGGCAGCTGTGCTTCGGTAGACCAACGACCTGAAATGGGCAGTCGTCATGAGGCGCAAGACTAAACATAGTTCTTCCAAATTCCAACTTTGGGGGCCCATTTGGTGAGTTTACTTTCAAAACAAAGGATGATGCATCAAGGGTTTTGAGTTTTGTGCTCAGGAAATCAATGACCATGGGCGTAAGAGGCTAGGTTTCTGTAGTTTTTAACACTCTTTCAATATCGGTTCTGTTTGGTACAGCTGCCATACTTCAAATTTCATGTTTGGCTGCTCGGGTTTTCCTCGTGCTGTACTGTACATGTATGGCATGAGGACGGCAATTTTCCAAAGAAATCGCAAAAACTACAGACTTCGCACGGCAAAGGTATCCCGTGGCTGTGGTTGTTGTTCTTGTTTAGGGTTTAGGGTTTAGGGGTTGTTGGTTTCGGTGTTTCCGTGACAGAGAAATGTGCAACGCACAGGTCTGAAATTACTCCCTAACAGCTCAGTTGCCCATGGAAATGCATGAGCTTCCGTTAAATCTAGGAGTTTCTTTGCACGGGGCTGTAGACGGTAGCTCGGATCTTCTAGCGTAGCACTGGTCAATTTTAATATCTTGCAGCATATTTGGGATAGAAACCCTACATTCTACTATACAGCGAATCCCAGAAACTTGGCACATGAGTTTAGGATGATTTGTGCCAGGATCCCTTATACCCCACCTTGAGGGCAGGAGGACTATGATGTTCCAGCTTTCTAGCTTTTACTGTATCGGTACTCAGGAGCTCTTGAAAAGAGAACCGCAAACCCCAAACCCAACCCTAAACCCTAACCCCAAACCCTTAAAGGAACCCCTGAAGGAACCTGTAGTAGGTACTTATGATCCTATGAGTCTTCAGCTCCTGTAAGCTTTGGTTTACAAGCACTCCACAGCTCCGAAAGTCCTTAGGGTTTAGGGTTTAGGGTTGGGGGTTTTAGGGTTTACCCTAAGGGTCCAAGTGCCCAAACAGTAGGGTTTCAGGGTCCAAAAACCATTCAGGGCATGGGTTTGGGCACCTAAAACCTTGCTATATGGGTACTCGGACCCTTTGGGTTAGGGTTTAGGGTTTCGGGGCTCGAACCTTAAGGCAACCCTGAGCCCTAAACCGTCGACACGGAATCCTAAACTCGAAAGGAGCGGAGATTCCGAAAGCTCCGAGACGCCGGTCAGTCCAGGAGGACCTCCAGCAAGTCAGGGTTTAGGGTTTAGGGTTTAGGGTTTAGGGTTTAGGGTTAGGGTCCCTCAAATGTACCCTCTCTTACTTAAAGGAACATGGGACTTAGTAAGTAGGGTTATAACTAAGGTAACTATACTTATAACCCCAATTAGGGGACTTATAACCTTACGTACTAAGTCCCATGGTCCTCCAAGTAGTCGGCTAAGAAAGGCTTTTAGAAATGCAGAAGAAGCAGAAGAAGCAGAAGCGTAGGCAGTACGAAACTCTAAGCCTTGGGCCCTGAACCTTTTGGCCCAAAGCCTAGCTAGGGTTGATCACATCGTCTTTTGGTGGGCTTCGCTCGCAAGGGTCTTATCGGTTCAGGGAGCACTGCAACAGAAGCAAGAATAGGGTTAAGGGTTTAGGGTCTTGGAGGGATCCATACCGAAAGCCCTATTAATGCGGGATCTCCTGCTTCGGAATCCTTCTTATGATTTGGGAAAGTATCCCCCATAGCAGTACCTAGGCCCCTTGAGGATTGTAGTCACTGCTGAGTTTTTTTTGTGGGGAGGGGGGGTTAGGGCATAGGGCTTAGGGCAGGGTTTAGGGTTTAGGGTATGTTTCCATGTGTGTTGATGCGGAGCTTCCTCGCAGCTAGTTGTATGGTGTTCTTTCACTGCTGTGTTCTGAAGCTGCGGATTAGTGCGAACAGCTCCGCTCCCTTTGTGGGCTGCGCAGCACTAGTGAAGACTGCCAGTAAGGCCGATGCTCGGAAATATGAGTTGGTTCTTGCCCTCAAAAGGTTATTTGTTTATTGTCCCACATCGCCATGACCATTCTCTGTTTGTCTATCTACCCATTTATCTACCTTTCTGTCTATCTATCTATATTTTTGTCTATCTATCTATCTATCTATTTATCTATCTATCTATCTATCTATCTATCTAGATACCTATCCACCTATCTATCTATCTATCTATCTATCTATCTATTTGTCTATCTAGCTATCTTTCTATCTATCTAGCTACCTACCTACCTATCCATCTATCTATCCATCTAGCCACCTATCCATCTAGCTACCTATCGATCCATCTATCCAGCTATCTAGCTAGCTACCTATCTGTCCATCTATTTGTCTATCTATCTATCTATCTATCTATCGATCTATCAGCCACTCCATCCATCCACCCATACGTCCGTGCATCCATCCATGCGTTCTTCAATTCATTTGTCTATCTCATCTTTCTATTCATCCGTACATGCAGCCATCTATCTATCTGTCTTTGTGCATCTACCGATATTTTGATCTTCCTATCTACCTCGCTACCTCTCTACCTGTCCGTCTACCTATCTGCCTATATACTTATTTATCGAACATGATCTATCCATCTATCCATCGCTCCATCTCTCCATCCCTGAGTCTCTCCAGCCATCCATCCATCCATCTATCTATGTGTCTATCCATCTGTCCTATGATCTGTCTATCTGTTTATCTACCCATTTTGCACATTTACTATCTATCTACCTATCTCGATCCATCTAACTAACTGACTGACTACCTAGCTAATACCAATTTATATAGCTATCTATCTGTTTTTGTCTACCTGTCTATCTATCTGGTCATATATCGGTGTATTTGTTTGCCTACGTGCATTTTCACTTAAACATTGGTTGGTTGGTTGGTTCGTCGGTCGGTCGGTCGGTTGGTTGGTTGGTTGGTTGTCTGGGTTTGTTGGATTGGTTGCTTGTTTGGGCTTGCTGAATTGGTCGGATTGGTCTGGTTGCTTGCTTGGTTGGATGGTTGGTTGGTTGGTTTGGTCTGGTTAGTTTTAGTTTGGTTTGGTTTGGGGTTTGGGGTTTGGTTTGGTTGGTTTGGTTGGTTGGTTGGTTTGGTTTGTTGGGTTGGTTTGGCTGGTTTGCTTGGTTTGGTTGGTCGGTTTGGTTGGTTTGGTTGTTTTGGTTGGTTTGGTTGGTTGATCGATTGATTTATTTGTGGGCTTATTGATGTGATGATCTGTTGTCTCCGTGTCCAATGTGTGCTGTAGTGTACGTACCCAAAGGGTCCTAAGTACATATAAAGTATATAATACTGTAGGGATATGTAGGGTTAACGTTTGCACTTCAAGACTTCAACTGCAGACCCCCTAAACCCTAACTCCAAACGCCCACACTCCAAACGCTCGAAAACTTCGAGCCCTAAACCTTTAAGCTCCCCTAGCCCCCTATATAAAACCTTGAGAGCCCTAAGGCCTTGGTCCAAGTAAATCTCAGAATCCAAAGCCCTGACACCTTTAATCCTAAACCTCTAAACCCTAAACCTTACTTATTACCTTAGATGGTAGGTCTTGTAGTAATTGGGCCTAAATCCTCCACAGCGCCTTATGCCAGGACCCAGGACTGAAATCTCTTGACCTCTGCTTAGGAGTATTAGGGGTTGAAGGTTTCGGATTCAAGGTTTGGGGTTTAGGGTTAAGAACTTTGCATCCAGGGTTTAGGGTTTAGGCGGTCCTTCGTCAGCTTTTACTACATTGCTACAGTGTAAACTAACACGGGGTCATGAAACATGCATGTGTTCTGTTGAGTCCAACGGGCTTTTGGTAAGCACGTATGTACGTATGTATGCGCACACTAAACCCTAAACCCTAAACCTATGTACGTATACATGAATGAATGTATGCGCACACTAGACATGTTGATAGTTTATGGCTCATGGCTTTGGGGCTCGGTGCGCTTTGGAGGGGAAGGTGCACGGTTCTAGGTACGAAGCCGGCTAGGATTTCGGCTTAACCCATAGGCCCCATAGTAGTTTCTGTATGTGGCTCATATTTAGGATCCTATTAGGGAATCCCAAAAAGCAACTACCATGGGGCCTATGGGAAGGTCTATACTGGCCCTAAACCCTACTCGAGTGTCTTCCGCGAGGAGTTGAGGAAGAGGTTTCTGGTCTGGCGCAGCTGACCGTCGGGCGGCGCGAAGCCATGCGTGCTTCGCCGTAGGTTTACGTGTAAGGCTTCAGGCTTAAGGGTTTGGGGTGCTAGCGTTTGGGTTTAGGGTTTGGGGTTTAGGGTTTAGGGTTTAGGGTAGGGATTTCTTGTTCAGGACGTTCAGGTTTCCGAGGTTTATGCCCAGGCAGGCCTGGAGAATGGCGTACAATTACTCCTCAGAAGTTAGCATTATACAACAGGTTGATGCTTGTGGGCTCTTTTTCGGAAGTGCTCTTTATGACCTTAAACCCTAAACTTATGAGATTCTTT